ACAAGACTATATGGTAGTTGTTTATAAACAACCTATATTGTCTTTAAGAAAAAAATAAAAATAAGGGAGAGTTACAGTTAGGTACCACATAAGGAAATTAATTACTATAAGGTCTATTGACAACTAAACTAAACTGCATCGACAATTAATTGTGTTGTCGATGTAGTTTAATTCAGTAATTAGTTGTCAATGTAATTTAATTCAGTTGTTAGCAGTTGTCGATGCAGTTTAGTTTAGTTGTTAATAAACCTTACAGTAATTAATTTTATTGTGTAGGACTTTAATATAATTGTCCCTAAAAATAATAAGACTATGTAACAATAATTCATATTAACATTATATAAACCCATAGACTATATAGTGGTTTTTATGAATTACCGTTATATAGTCTTGTTATTTTTAATTTGAAAATAACTGTTATATAGTTATTTAAGTCAAATCTCAACTTATCTATATATAACGGTTTTTGAAATAACTATTATATAAGAAGTGTTATATATACTTTATTTTTTAGTACTATTTAATTAGATAAAAATATATTGAGTATATAAGTCTTGCTCTTAAATTATATATCAAGTGGCCTTCAAACTTAGTAAAATGTTCCATTGCACCCTCTATTGCTAAATGATACTCCTCTGGTCATATTTATATAGAGTTGGTAATTCAAGCGAGCCAGGCTCAATTCAAGTCGGGCTTATTCAGATCATGCTTAAAGTATCATATCCCCTTAAACAGGTTCATATAACCAAGCCTGACCCTAACTTTTTTTGAGCGGGTTCAAGTTGGCCCGTCAAGCTTAGCTCGAATTACTAGTTTATATTTATAAGGCAGAGAGAGAGAAGAAAAAATTTGGTTCTATTTAGAAGGCACTTGTTGATTCCCAATGCTCATTTTTATATTTTTACCCTATTAAATGCTTTGAATAAAAATACCAGTAATAAAATTTAAGAATATTTATTAGGGATAAGGGTGAAAAATTGTTAAATTTCAGACAAAGTTAATGAAATTTAAAATTTTTCTTGATTCCAATAAAATATATTGAAAGTAACTTATAAATAGGATCAGAAATAATGATTAACATATGTTACTTAATGGTGTGGGGCCCACAAAATAAAACTGGTGTTGTTTGGGGTGTTTGGAGTATATATATATATATATATTGTTGCCAACAACATGGCACGCCATCTAATTTTATTTTTGGTGATCATGTGGGTTGAAGAAGAGGCACAATTAAGAGCTTACATCTTATTTCTTGTCAGGCTTTCTATCTGAGTGGAGGAGTCATTTGAGTCATCTATGTGAGCTGCCATGCACATCAAAGAACGGACATAGAACCTCTCTATTCATGCATCATTATTTTCTCTCCACTTCCCTAATCATAACCATTAATCAAATCCATGACTAAAATAAATTCGCTTAGAACAATGTCAATGATTATGATATTAGAGAAATAGTGGAGGAAAAATGATGACAAGAAAATGGAAAAGTTCCTCAATCCTGGACAAGACGTTCACATTTTTTTTGAGCTTCACATCCACACAAGTTAGTAATAGACGTTAATTATTATTTAATGGGAAAGACTACATTACATCATTTATTTTAAATTCAAGAGACATTTAGTACATTACACTACTTGATTGTTTACAATACACACTACTTCTGAAAGAATTGTTTAAAATCCTATAACATTTTGGACCAATCTATAAATAAAGGCATGGGAAGACTAGCCCCAAGACATAAAAGCTCTTGGATCCATTCAGCTTTTTCATTATAGCATTTCCTTCAAGGGAAGATTTCCCGCCGCTTCTCACAAAATTTCTGAAAAAGCTATAACACATTGATTTTTGTATCACCTAAAGAGCGATAAATTTTTAATTTGTACTAGTCGTGGGAATTGAGTAATGTATGGAGTTTACAATGAGTCACAATGTTCATACATACATACACATATATATGTATTCAAAATTTTCAAACTAATTTTCTTGGTTGAATAGTTCTGTGATTGGTTATTTGGTTAAGCAACTAAATCACTAATAAAAAAAAAATCCTCTGTCTTTTACGTAAGTAACGTTCTAAAAAAAATTGACCGTTCTATTTATGAGTCATTAATTATTTTTTTAATTTTTATCCTTGCACAATTTTATATGAATAGAGTAAATGTTATATATAAGAGAAAAAATATTTTAAAAAATGAAGCATTAAACACGAATAAATTAGTATATATATCCTTTTAAAAAAATCATTAATAATTTAAATGCTATTTTTATCTTGCATAATAATTAAAAGTAACTTATATACAAAAGCATATGTAGTGCATTAAAGTAGTTAGCCACAATTCAAAACAAATAGGAAGAATATAACTTCAATAAAGGTCTCTAGAAAAAAATTTAATTTTTTAAAATAAATTTTTAATAGATAAAAAGTAATAAATTAACAAGTAACGAATCCATTAAGGATCCTTATCGATTATTAAATTCTTTTGAAAGGATTATTCATTAATATTCTCCCTAGCAAAATATTATTGGACCCCACCGCCCTACACAAGGTTTCTCCATTTTCTACCGAGAAGCACAAGAGCCCTTATAATGGGCATGCTCCCCATCCCTGCAATTGTAGTTGAAAATATGGGTGGGTTGGATTTTTAAAAACTTGATCTTTATGAGTTCAGTCCTTAAAAATTTAAATTCTTAAGCTTGATTATTCATTTTTAATTCCTTTTTTTGAGGCTTGGCCCTTATATAAAAGGTTTGGGGTCGGCCTGAAAGTCATGTTCAAAAAAAATAAAAATAAAATTAAAATTATAAATTAATTAAAATATTTTAAAATTAAAAAATTAAAATTCACACAATATTTTAAAAATTAAACAACATATTTAGAAATCTAAACAACACACATTCATCGATCAAAACGTAAATCCTTCTCATCTTCATTATCTACAAATAAAATATTAGATCCTTTGGATATAAGTGTACTTGTTGAAGATGAAGGTAGAAATTTAGTGTCAATTACCTTTATAACTTTATCTTCATCATCTACAATAAATATTAACCGAATTGTGTCATTATTAATCAAATATATGCATGTGTGTGTGTATAAAATAGTTAGGCTTATCAGGACTTGAGCCACTCAAACCCGACCTTTTTTCATAGGGCTTATCAGGGCTATGTCTTTAAACTCAGTTCCTTTGAAAAAATAATTTTAAAGCCTGAACCCTTATTTAAACAGGGCCTACAAGCCTGACCTTTCAGGCCCCGGGCCTTATTCACAGCTCTACCTGCAATCCCAAATATATATATATATATATATAATTAAAATATAAAAAAATGAGTATTTTAGACGGAACCTACATGTTCCATCGTTCTTGGCCTATTCACATGGCTTCTGATCGGAACAACTAACTGGTGAAATGACAAAAACACCCTTGTCCCGTCCACCACTCTAAACTCCCATCCACCAGTAGGGACACCATTGGAAATCACACAGATCTCCATTTCAGACGCATCGAATCTATCTGCCTATCTTTGATCCTTCCATTGTTGTGTTGCTCTAGTGCTCCCTTGTGTTCCCTCCCTCCCTAGTACCTAATAATCTCATGATCCCATAAAATTAACAGAAAATTAGAGAATTAAGACCTAATATTTTATTATATTCATATTTTAATGCCAAACCTCTGTGATCGGTAACATTTTTTTACCATTTTTTCATTGAATTGTTCTATAAAGGGGAAAAAACCAACCTTGTGTTGTACAAAGTTATTATTTTCTCCCACCTATTTTGGAAGCACTAGCATGTGACTAGGGTTTAGTTTTCTGTTTCACCAGGGGTAAGTAGTGCATTCTATTATTTTGTTATGACTCGGGGTAGGTGATTTCACTTATTTAACGTTGATCCAACCAAATAATTTATAAGGTTAAAAGGTAAATTTGACTTGGAAAATTTTTATTACGTGTAATTGGTATTCTTAATTGATTGATACAATATTGCCCCACAATTTTAAAAAATGATACAATTTTATTCCATGGTAACATAGATAAATTGTTAGTTGAAAAATTTTACGCATGGAGCAATTTTTGCCTTAAAAATTTTTTTGAACGAACAATTAGTATCATAAACTTTTGATTAATATAATATTTTTGAGTTATCAATGTTTGAATGAAAAAATATACATAACAATTGTAATCAATATTAAAAAAATGATTCATATTTTTGAATTTCAACTAAAAGTCTTATATGAGGTTGCTTAGGTACAAAACCAACTTTACTTGAGTATTCCTATAGACTTTCTTTTGAGAAAAATCCAAACTTGCCCTAATTTTATCCATGAGTAAATTCAACATGTATTCATGAAAAGTCTCAACTTGCATAGACTTAACCACAAGGAAATACAAACTTCGTTAAGCCTACTCATAGACAATAAAGACTAGTTCGAATTTTGATTTAGAGGGTGATTCTTAAAACAAATTTTCCCTTTAATCTTAATTTGCATATAATCTTATAAAGGGCCCACATAAATAAATGTTCAAACATCAAACTAACGTTGGTTAGGTTGAATGGTATAGGAAGTTGATTCTTTTAAACAAAAATCTAAATTGAAATTTGTAGATAGAATCATATTCCTTCCAACTAAAAAGCTTATGTCAACGATAAAGTTAGTTGAATCACTTGTTTAAGTTATGACAGTTCCTATTACTCATCCAACTTATTTGTAATGTATTTTGAATTTATCTGAAGCATTTTTCTTGAAACCAACTCCTTAAATATTGTTTCTTTCCCCATAGCAAAAAGACGGTCGCTATAAAGAATTTAAAAATTTTCATGCTCCCAGCACAAGCAACGCATGAACTAACCGAAGAAATTAATTTTTAAAATATTTAAGAAGCATGAGACTAATTTTACAAAATAAATAAATTCTAGCATTAGTAGATGGTTTTCCCGGGCAGGGACTGATGAATAAATACAAATGAGACAGAGAGATTAGGCTGTCAAAAACAGGGGCAAGTTTTAATAATTGGGCCATTAGTGTTGTGAGATACAATTACATATGTAGCAGCAGAAGAAGAGGAGATCAGCACTTCGTCTTGTTCCTTTCTTCTCCATCTCTCTCTCTCTCCCCCTCCTCCGATCCTCTCACTCTTCCATGTTAGCTTCCTTCTTCCTCATCACACATGGGAAAGACCAGCAAATGGCTTCGAAGCATCTTGACTGGCAAGAAAGACAGACATAGAGACAAAGACAAATGTTCAAAACCGTCTGACATTCCCGAGCAACAAGATCGGACCACGCCGACCAATTCAACTCCCAAAGAGAAACGACGTTGGAGCTTCCGAAGATCCTCGGCCTCATCGACAACGACGACGGCGACAGCCGCAGCCGACGTGACACCGACCACTCCCGTGGAATCAAACGCTGTCGCTTCTAACTCACCGACAGACATCGCTGCCGACGATGAGCAGCAGAAGGAGCAGCACGCCATGGCCGTCGCTTCCGCCTCCGAGGAAGCTGCCGCCGTTAAAATTCAATCTGTTTTTCGCTCTTACCTGGTATGAATCCTTGACTAAAATCGAAATTTCCTTGAAAAAGTGTTGAGTAGTAGATTGATGTTTGATGATTTTGAGGTTTGAGACAGGCGAGGAAGGCGCTGTGTGCGTTGAGAGGATTGGTGAAGTTGCAGGCACTGGTGAGGGGTCACTTGGTGAGGAAGCAAGCGACAGATACGTTGAGAAGAATGCAAGCTCTGGTGACGGCACAGGCAAGAGCTCGAGCTCAGAGGATTCGAATGGTTTCGTCGGAAGATCAGAGGCATAATCAAAGACAATCGAATCACAGAAAATCCACAGAAGAAGACATGTTCACGCAGATCTATGATGTGAGTTTCATTAAGTTCCTCATTACGATATCTATTATTTGTCTTGAAATGATGGAATGCTTCCTGCGTTTATAAGTTTAATGCATGATGATCTCAGGTTTCTGTAATCTATGAATGAATTTGCGGAATGCTCTGTTTCTTCGCTTACTCGTATCAATCTGCTAAAGAATTTTTTCTAAGAAAATAAATTTGTTTTCATTTGGAAATTGGAAGAGGTTGACCATGTCCGGTCTGGTCTTCAGTCGGTGCCTCGGTGGAAGAAATGTGATTTTGCTAGGACTTTGGATTGGTGTTTAACATGTTTTGTTTGTTAATTTCTAAACACGTGTGAACATGTTTAGAGTTTGGTTTTTGCTTGTTAATTTTTTTTAAAAATAAATTTAATTAAGTTAACATATAATTTGATTTATTAAATCATGCTTAAATTTGTTATCGACTTAAATGTTAAAATATAAATATGGTCATTTAACATAGTTTACAGAAATATCATATTAATAGTTTTTTTTTTAACATTGGAATATATATGGTTGATACTTGATCCGTTGATAAGCATTGCCTGCAAACTAAATAACTTTGTTAAATAATTGTAAAAAATTAACTAAATTGTTTTTTTTTTTTGGAATTTGAAAATTACTAAAATATATTCACTGAGTTTTACGTGATGACTTCAGCTGTTAAAATAAAACATGTATATAATTTTTTTAAAAAAAATTGCATTTGAAACTTCAACATAGTAAGTAATGTGCGGGAAAAAGCAAAACAACCAATGAGAAAAATTGAAATTGTCAATTTATAACTTTAACTTCTGGTTTCTCTCTCTCTCTGTGTTTTTTTTCAATTGATTTTTTTTTTTTTTGGGAATGAAAATGAGAATCTATTAAATTTATGAAATTTTCAACGTTGGAAATGGACATGAACCAGGAAGAGAACATCAAGATAGTGGAAATGGATGTGGGTGAGACCAAACGTGATTCTAGAAGGAGAAGAAACAATATCAACAGTAACAACAACAACAATAACCCAAATTACCATTGCGCATATTACTCACCAAAGGAAGAAGCCCACCAGGCTGCCTCCCCAAGCCCATCAGCTGTAACGGACATGAGCCCACGGGCCTACAGTGGCCACTTTGAGGACTGTACATCCTTGGGTACAGGCCAAAGCAGCCCACAGCTCTTGTACTCGGCCATGTCGAGGATTGAAGACTTAAAAAATCTTCCTTTCACCTTTCCAAAACCTCCACCACATGCAGAATCAGTTATGTCTTATGACTACCCTTTGTTCCCAAACTACATGGCCAACACAGAGTCATCTAGAGCCAAGGCACGGTCACAGAGTGCGCCGAAGCAGAGGCCGCCTGAGACATTTGAGCGGCAACCAAGCCGACGACGGGCTTCGGTGGAAGGGAGGAACGTGCCTAGGCCCGTGCGAATGCAGCGGTCTTCTTCTCATGTGGGTTCTACGGCCCATAACTACCAGTATCCTTGGTCCACGATCAAGCTTGACAAGTCTTCAGCTTCACTCAAGGAGAGTGAGTGTGGATCTTCTAGTACTGTTCTCACTAATACTAACTATTGCAAGTCCCTTGCCGCTTATGATGTGAGTGCACTTGTTTCTTTATGATAATTTTTTATTTATATTACATCAATACTCAATGTAAAAAAGAAGAAGAAGAAGCCTGCTATGTTTTTTTTGTTATGCATAAGTATCTTATTCTTGTTTAAAATATGATCAGGAACTAAATTAAGTATTTTTCAATAAAAATTTAAATATTGATTTATTATATTTAGTATCTAACCATGTCTTAATAAGAGGACATCTAGGTATAACAAACAAAGAAAGTGTTCTTAGTTTTTGTAATACTTTATGACATGTTATCATTGTGTTTGTTTCTGGCTGCAGCCTTATGGAGGAAGGTACTACTGACCAAATTCTTCCTGCAACAAGAGGGAACCAGTTTTGCAGGAACATTCATGAGTTAATTTTCCATAGTGTATTTCAAGACACATTATGTAGAGATTTTTTTTTTTTTTTTTTGCCTTTGTGTGTTTTTCTTTTAATATAAATTTGGCCGTGTTTGTGAGTGAGACATTTTGACTTGTCATGATCTCTATGTAAAAATTTATCCCATCGATATATTTCTAAGAGGCACTGTTTTAAAAACATTTTCAAGTTTCCACCCTTATTTTCTTTTTCAAGTTTTAAGGAATTTTTTAATTGATACCCTTGACTCCTAATTACGTTTGTTGATTTTATTGGAGCACACTAATTACTTTAAAATAAGATATTTTTAGTCATAGTTTGGCCAAAAAAATTATGCCGGTAGACATACAGAAATGAGATACAAGAGCTCTATAATTATATTATCATCTTTCTAATATTTTTCTATTTTTTAATGTATTTTCTTTTATCCATCCAACTATAAGAAATAATAAAATTATCATTCTAATTACCAACAAAGACTAGTTCAATTAATAAAAATTTAATTTATAACTTACAAGATCAAATCATGTTATTGATGTAACCACCTTGTTGGTGGGCAAATTGTAAGTACTCTTATAAGTGTTCTTTAAATTTAAAAGCATGTTTGTTCTTAGTGAGCTCAAAGACCCAACTGATTCAAATTTTTATATACTAAAAAAATTTATCATCCTAATTTACTAACTGATTGGGTGTAGCAAAAGAACTAATCCCTCATTCAAATCCCACTTGATATAGATGCTCATATTTAGTATATAACCCATGTATCAAACAAGATACTTGTAAGCAATTAAATAAATATTATCATCTTATTTTATTCTGTTCATTTTTTTTCTTTCAACTTTTTTATTATCCATTCAAAGTACAATAAGAAAAAATAAATATTTAATATTCAAGCAAAATTAAAGAGACTTTTTTTGTATAAAAATGAAAGAGACTTTTATAATAACTATCAAACAGCTCTTTCACGGCAATAATTATTTATTTATTTAGCACAAACGGTTGGGATTCAGAATTCAGAAAGCAAAGAACTGAAGTTTTTTTTTTTTTTTTCCCTTTGCGCCAGAGACGAGTGGACCGTTGAGATGTAATAACAGGCGCGCCCACGCATCAAACTTGGTGGCTTGGAGCGAAAGTAAATAAACAGAGAACTTGACAGTCAATTAAAACCAGTAAATCAAACAGCTCTTCATTACTCAATTTCCTACGATCACATTCACATCATACAATTTATCAGTAATTTCGAATTCCAATTTCTCTCTCTCTCTCTCTCTCTCTCTCTCTCATTTTTCCTCTATAGCTGATATAGCTCTAAGCTCTCTGTTTCGTGGACTACAAAATAATGACTTCGTCTTCTTCTACAATATCAACGAAAAACACGGGCAAAGGTAGGCGCAAGATCGAGATCAAGAAGGTCGAGCAAACCAGCAAGCGTCTTGTCACCTTCTCCAAACGCAAATTAGGCCTTTTCCGCAAAGCCGCGGAGCTATCCCTCCTCTGCAACGCTGAAATCGCCGTCGTCGTCTTTTCTCAGCACGGCAAGGTCTACTCCTCCGGCTACCCCGACCCTGACTCTGTCATCCACCGTTACCTCGCCGGCACATTCTCTTCCGGATTGGACTCCCCGTCGGTTGATCATGATCAGGATGGAGAATCGGCGGTTTCGTCGTCTTCGTCGCTGCTGAGGCGGGAATACGAGGAGGCGATGAAGGTGTTGGAGGATGAGAAGAAATCTCTGGACGCCACGGCTGAGATTCCCGGGTCGGGTTGTGGACAGGGGTCTTGGTGGAACCGCCCGGTTGGGGAGATGGGTTTGGAGGAAGTCGTTGAGTTCAAGGAAAGAGTTGAACAGTTAAGGCAGAATCTGGTTGTTGCGGCGGAGGAGGAGAAGAAGAAGCAGACGGCGATGACTTCGCCGATCAGTTTGCCGCCGCTGCCGCATATAACGGAATCGACGATGGAAACGGAGGAGTCTTTGTACCATTCTCTGTTGAATGACGACGTGTTCGACATGGATCGAGTGTGGGATTGGGATTTCTGGAATAAGACTACAAACAGTAATAATTCTTCCATGGTTTGGAATAGCGATCTTAGCCAGTCTTATTAAAGCATAGGATTATGATTATCATTGGGTTTAACTTGTTGATTAATGATTAATGCTGTTTTTGGCGGGAGACTAAGAACTGGTGTAGATTTTGATAAGTATACTTGCAGCAGTGGATCACAATTGCGAGAATTAGAGCCGTTGAATACATCCAAGAGCTCTCAGCTGATTTGCCTCACGGCTACTTTTTTTTTTTGTAATTGTGTCCCGTCATATGCTCTCAGTATTTTTATAATATTTGATCTTTTTGGGCATTTGCTCTCAGCCTTCAGCTTGCCATTATGAATCAATATATATATATATATATATATATTTTATAATTAAGTAATTTTGCACAGATTGATAATAAAGTATTTTTATAATTGCCCCTTTTTATTATTTGAAATTTAAATCCTATTACTAGTACGCCACACTAAACATTGGTATATTGTGATTTTTTATACTTTATTTTTTATTCTATCAATATTTGCTTGTTTTTATTTGGGAATTAAATGTTAAAATCACAAGCAATTTTTTCCCAAAAAAATTTATTATTTATCTATCTCATAAAAAATATGTAGCTGCATTTTGAATGACAACAAAACAGAAGAAGAAATTTCACTGGAGATAAATAAATAAATTCAACAATTTCACAAATACTCCCTTCAAATTACACTCCCAATAAATTAGTTAATTATATTTAAATCAATATAATTTTGTATATTTATCCTTATTTAAGATACTACTTCATTTAAAGGTGAAAGGTAAGCAAGAAAAAAAACCTCATTAATCATATATTAAAAAAGCTAAAAATATCTTATATTTTTAAAGATTCAATCTTTGAAAAAATTGTTTTATATTTTTTGACAGAGGGAGTGTTTTTTAACGTTGAAATCTATCGAAACATGATAGAACTAAACTATAGGATATATTGATTAAAATTTTGGAAACTTTTTAAAAGGAAAATTTTTTAAAAATTACGAGTAAGAACTTGGGAGTTTGGATAATGGAAAGATTTTGAGATGACAAAAGTATACATAATTTCCTTATTATTTATAAATTATAAATAAATAAGTTAATGACAAGTTGAGATAACTTAAGAGATATTTTGGAAAAAAAGATAGTTTTATTTATTTTTAAAAATTAATAGTTAAATAAAACAAAATAACATCAGGAATACACATTGTCACCAGGATACTACTTGCAATTCTAATTATAAATAGTACATCCGGATAGATATATTGGTATATTCATGATTATATACTTTTAAATCAATTTTTTACAAAATATCTTTGAATATTTATATTTTTTATTTTATGTTTTATATATTAATTTAATTTAGTTTCACATATATTTAATTTAAATTAAGTAAAGTGTATCAAAAAAATTTAAATTTATATTGAATTAGATAAGATGTGATGTGATGTGATATGATATGGATGCAATGCAACTAAAAATAGATGTGATATGATAAGGCAACATAAGACATTTCCTTTCTCGACGTGTCTATATATATACATACACACACACGCCTAATGATACTAAATTTGCCTTCCAATTACAAACTCACAAAAAGCAACAATGGCTCATTCAATCTCTTCCTTCTTCGCCTCTTCCCTGCGCAAGCCAACCCTAATTCCAGACTTTATCGTCATTGCTTCGAGACATTTCTCATCAGATTTCAGAAAACTTGGAGTTTCGGTGCCGCTTAGAGTCAGAGCGCCACCAGTTCCTTGCAATGATATGGATGAAAGTCCTGCGAGAGGTTCGTTTTGGGAAAACATTTACAAAGACAAAGTTGTGGATCTTACTTCACCAAATATTATGCCTATAGATCCAAACCTTCCTAGGGAGACGAAGAAGGAGACGAAGGATGATGAGAAGCAAACCTAAAGGATTGGATCAGAGATCAATCTTTTGCTTTTCTGTTAGTTTTTTTTTTAAATTATTTTTATTCTTTTATATTTGGTTTAAATTGTTGTTATTTCTTTCTTTTCTACTGAACTTTTTTTTTTTGGTTATTATATAAATAAATTTCATTATTTTTTCCCAATATGTTGATATTGAGGAGGAATGAAGGTTAACCCAGTTTCGATTTGCCTTCAAATTGGTTGTATATATGCTTTTCATGTTTCCCCATCATATTCTAATAATAATAGTTATGGTTAAAATATAAATATATTTTTCCCACATGTGGATTCTAAATTATGGATAATGTTTGCATTATTTCGTATTCTAAGGAGATCAAATATGATAATGATACTATGGCATTCGCAGGCTCTGCAAAGGAACATAGGTGTCTTTATTTCACTTTTCGTACTGTAACTTTTGATAATAGTCCTTTTCCTTTTTCCAACGAAAAAAGGAGGCCTAATAAAATATTTTTAAAAAAATATTTCTAAACTCTTGACAAGTTTTGTTTTTTAATATTTAATAGTAATAATTGCAATTGTTAAATGGAATTATGATTTTCAAATTTACTTATACAAGAATAAATTGAAACAAAGACAGGCTACCAAAAAAAAAAAAAGAAAGGGAAGTCTAATGAAAATCACTTAAATATTATAGGTTTAACATTTTTCATTAATTTTAAACTCAAACTAAATTTTGCTTAATAAAACAAACTCACACTACACGGCGAAGCCAAGCCATTGGTTAAATTTTATTTCTTGATCATTTAAATTATTTACTTAATTAAACCTACATTTATGGAGATGATGCCACAATTTGTGGCATATCATATGTTGATTACCTTTAGATTTTAGATGATATATTGAAAGCGTCAAATCTGAAATTTTTTAAAATAACAGCGTATACTTGGAAGGTTTTTTTGAATTTTTAAAAGAAAATGTATTTTATAATTTTTAAAGAGTGAATCCAAACCACTCAAACCAAGTCCAAATCTTTGGCCCCAAAAAAGGAAAAAAAGAAAAAACCAAGTCCAAATCTATTGAAAAGACCATCGACTTATCCGAATTTAATGTTTACTTACTTTTATATTTTTAATAGATTTCTATTTATAGAGACATGGCAGTTGGCCCAAAAAAATATTTATAGAGATGTGGGATTTAAAATTAAAAATTGTAATTTTTTATTATTGTTATAAGAAATGAATTTATTATTTTAAAATTAAAAATTTTGAATTTAGACTATTTAAATCATGGTTCATATCTCATTGCGGAAATGACTATGCCTAGCACTAACAAGTCAAATTTTGGATCTTTTCAAATCAAAATGGGAAACTAGAATATGAATTTTTGATCCCCCGCTTTGCATGAAACTTGAGACAAGTTATCTGCTATATATTATCATAACTGATAAAAGCTTAAACCATGTAACATGGAATGGTACGATTGTGATTATATAAGAACTTCAATATTCATTCTCTTTTTTATATAACAATCTTAGATCAGACTAGAGCATTAGCAAGCCCAATTAAAAAAAAAAAAACTCTTAAAAATACATTTTCTAGATTCACAAAAACTTGAATTAAAGACTTCTCAGTAATATTCATTCTCTTTAAATATAACTGCTGTATGCCATTCTGAATTGTAATTGAAAAGAGTCAATCTGACTTGTGGAGCTAAGAACTTGAGCGATTTAAATGTCCATTCTATCAAAAAAGCAAGTTTGTGAACAAATTTTCAAGCCAAATTAAAAGTCCATCCCCATTCTATCAAACCATTCACAAATCAGAATACAAGTAATTTTCACAGCTAACAATAATTTAACAAAGACTTGATATTACAGAAAGGCTATATCTGAAATAAACAATGGAGGACTAGAGTCTCCTAATCACCAGAATATGTAATGCAACTTGAAAGGCCTGGCCTATTATGTTCCAAGGAATAATGAAAAGTTGAGGGATCTATCAGACAAGAATCAATCATCATTATCAGATCACCAGTATTTCATATTCCAAAATTTGCCTTGCAAGACAACAATCATAAAATTTCTGCAATCTTGGGACCTGCATAATACCCATGAACCTGTAGTTCTTTTTGTTCCCGGAAAAAAATCATAAACCGAATGACAGTAAAGGGCTAAGAACTAGGCAGCTTTTCTTTGAACAGGCGTGGAAGAATTTCATGAGCACCAATGTCCAAGACTTCTGGGTCTCTGAAAAGACCAATTTCAAAATAAAATTAGAAATCTCGATGTTTATATAGCCAAAGCACGGACTGTAACACTCGATGAAAAAAGGAGCTGTGTCTGTCAGTCAAAAACATAAATCAAGCACAATGTGACACTAATCCTACGTTTGAACGTAGAGAAAAATAGTAGGGAAAAGCCATTAAAAATAAAAACTACAAAAGAAAGCATGAGGGAGAATAAATTTCAACCCTATTTAGATAGCAAGAGAAAAAAAAGCATGGGGCCCAAATGCTTTCTCTCCAAAGTTGTCTTTACAAACGTGGAGAGATTTTAGAGAGAAACATGCTTTCCAAAATTGCTCTATAAGAGAGAAGAAGAGGCATGAAACCCACACCTTTATCATTGAATGTGATTGTTATTATGAAATTAGTCGCTTTTTTTTCTGGTATTCTTGATCAACTAAACATCAAAATGGAAAACATTTAATCTCCAGTTTCCTCTTCCCTCCACTTTTTCTCCTACCATTTTCCCTTCTAATCGAAACAAGGCATGTGTTCAACAGTGAGTTTTTCATATTATTATTAACAAGCACACGCATTTCAAAAAAGGAGTCATGTCTGGCTGAACCCATATTCAAAACTTGTATAAAACACAATGTGACAGTACACAACTGTTCAGCAGCAAAGTTTTAAAATTATTATCGCCTAGGAGAAATCAAATGAATAACAGTAAACTAAGGACCATCTGCATCAAATACAGCAAATGTAAAGCCATTCTCACAAGGATTCGCAAGTCACATGAACAGAAGATGCATATGGATTCTCATAAGGGTGACACGACAATGATCTAAAACTACTTTCAACAATAGGCTTATAACATAATTCACGCACGATACATGCACTACATGCCCAAGATTGCAAGCAAGTCATATATAAATTTTTTTTAACAAAAAACAGTGAATACTTGCTTATTGTCACATAAATTCATTAGGAAGAAAATAACAGGTAATCCAAAAAACGTGAAGAAAATTTAAAAAAAAAAAAAGAGGTTATACCAAGTTCACAACCTTCTCTAACATTATTTGTTATTACTTCCACAGTATTACCCACTATAACTTACTCCTATTAGCTTATACTTTCATAGAATAACCTGCAATCAAGAGAGGGCAGAAGGGAAACCTGCATAATGTTTGTCCCATTTCATTGGAACTAGGAATAAACCACAGCTTTCTAAGTGAGGGTGATTCAAATTGAACAAAAAAACCATCATTCTGACCATGTTTCCATCTCCTTGATCCCTGGCCCTTCCAGACCTGCAAACACAGAATGCAAATTTAAATATTTTGTTGCAACTGAGACCTATATCTAGACTGTTTCAGAAAAAAAAAAAAAGATCAGTTGTGAAATCAATCTGTTTTATGGGAATGGTGACTAGATAGCCTAGTTTTCCATGTTCCCACCATCAGACCTTAGGGTTTTGGACTTAAAAATGGTTTGGAAAAAAAAATAAAAACTGCACTGTTGGTTTTAAGGTTCCTAGCCATGGTTTTGGAAATTGTGTTGTTTGGTAAATACTCTCAACAAAATATGGTTTGGGCTTCAAAACCATGGTTTTTCAGCTCCCAATATACTACCTAACAGGCACAAAGACAAGTGTATCAGTCACCTCACCATCTACCGAGATCTATGGACTTTGAAATTAGCAGTGGCAATTCTTGCACAAAACGTCTTCTCCTTTAGACCAATCAATTCCAAATTTTAATGCATTAAGAAACAAAATATACCTGCGGATAAGCAATTATGCTTTTGGGAACAATTAAGCAGGCTGCTCTGGAAAAGGAGTCCTCAGCATATTGCCTGAGAAATGAAAAACAGCTTCCATGTGTATGTGGTGATTCAAAGGCCTGATACACCAGATGACGCAAGAGTGTGGTTATTAAAAATAGAATACCATGAAAGAAAAAGCTAAGTTGCACGTGTGTGTGCATGTCTCTGCAGAGGAGAGTCTATAAAGGAAAGGGGACCCAAAAAACCAAGCATACCAAAACAAGAATTCTGTTAAAAATTAAGAATTTTCACCTTATCAATATTAACAACTGGGGCATATTTATCAGTCTGTGTCTTTTCCATATCAAGAAGGAAGTAGACTCTAGCATCCACAGTGGAAGTTCCATGCCATGATTTTACAGCTGTCTCCATGGTCTCAACAAGGAAAGAAAACAAGTCTTTCCAGCTGTCTTCACATCCATACTTTCCAGACTGTATGAAGAAGACCAAACAGCCACTTTGGAAATGTTAGAAAGAATGCATGAGCATATAAGGGCATGTTAGTAACTTTACGTCTTTACCATCTTTATGACTTCACAAGAAGCCGCCCAAAATTGAAATGGACAAAACAAAACATCTCAGAAACCCAAAATAGATTAATTAATACAATAGCACATCCTACAAAATGTTCATGCACATAAAGCACTCCAGAAAATAAAACAGGAATATATCATTAAATTAACAAACAATACTAACCAATTCAGGTTTCAATGTATTTAGATGCTTAGTCATGTCAACATTAGATCTTTTATTCTCCACTTCTTGTGCTCGATCTCTATCTTTTGCTAGTTGGTTTATCCTCCTTATCTTTTTTGAAACTTCTTGGCTTTGGGGATTATACTGCATAGCCATCTTAAAGGCAGCTAAGGCCTACAAATATTGAAAGGCTAACTGCATTAGAACCAGAAACTCCAAAATCATAGGGACGCACACACAGCTTCTGATCAAAAGCAAAAAGGAAGGAAGTTGGATGACATACATCTTCATATCGTTTCATGGCCTCAAGTACACATCCTTTCCTAAAATGCCCCTGGAAGTGAATTCAAGTAGCACCACTGAGCATATTATTTATATTGCAAGCTTCAAACAAGATCAGGCTTAAGGAAATCTAATATTACCTTGTCCCATTCAGGTTTTAGTTTTATTGTCATCTCAGCATCCTCAAGAGCTTTTGTAAGCTTGTCCAGTTGCAGCAGCGCAGCTGCACGGTTATTACCTTGTCCCATTCAGGTTTTAGTTTTATTGTCATCTCAGCATCCTCAAGAGCTTTTGTAAGCTTGTCCAGTTGCAGCAGCGCAGCTGCACGGTTACTGGTAGACAATGTAAAGAAGTTTCATCAGGAAAAGATGTTTATATTGGCATGCATGGCATGGAAGATGTCTCATTGTTGAAAGACACGAAGATACAAGCTACTGCTCTAGAATGCACAAGAACAAACAACCATTGACTGCCAAATGTGCCAAACACATCATATTCCTACAATTCAATTATATTTTATCTCCAGCAATGTGCTGTCTAGCATTTGACATTCAGAAGCACATAGGATGTGGCAAGTAAAAAAATTATCAACTATCACATGAAATTTAAGAATAAGACATAACCGTCATGGATTAGTTAACCAGTGAAGAAACAAATATTTATATAACCAAAGGACCAAGTCCACATGATAAGCAACTGGTCAAATTTAAAAGTGATCAATTGTCTGCATTGATGATGTCACCGATATCATGTTTAAATGCAGCAACGAAAACTTTATGCCATGCCACATCACTAGTAAATATTGGACCTGATGCAGTGAATGAAGTGACTTATTCAAACAGTAAAAGAGAATGCTATGGATTTTCAGACTTTGTAATGAAAATTATATAGGTCTCAGCATTAACAGAAAATTAATGTTAAAATAATAAGGGGAACCTGCATTTGAAAAAGAAAATAATAACTAAAGGAATTGGATACATTTGTTGATGACAATGTTGCATGCTCTTGCACTTCAAACTCAACTCAGTAACAAATGTCAGAATTATTATCCTTTGATAGAAGTTCATAAGAAATGCCAATGCCTAGAAAGAAATAGGCCAGAACTCATGAGACAACAGTTGTTATCTGCAACAAGGGGAAAAGTTCATCCAATATAACACCGAGTGCAAGTGTTATGGACAATAATCGATGTAGAATATGCTGCTTTCAGGCTCTCACACTCAATGGACCAGCTATCCAGGATGGAATCTTGCATCGCATTAAGTGGCACTTTAATTGAAAGCAGATCAATACAGAAAGAGCACACTTAGAAGGAGCAACTTGGAAAAGGGTTACCTGGAACCCAAGGGTCCAAGACCCACAAAAGCAAAAGCTGCCCACAGGAGGCATTCCCATAGTGGGAAGGAACTACTAGAAAGCATCCAGGACAACCAGAGTGAACAAGCACCCCCAAGAGTGGGTTGTCACGAATTCCAGCTCTCAAAGGAGTATGTTATCATATTTCTCACATTGTACAATCATCAAGATATAAAATGGAAATTATGCCTGGATGTTCTCCCACCCAAGAGGCTACTCTTTTGCTCCTCTCTTGGCTCAAATCGGATCAACTAGCTCATTTTTACTTTTGCATAGTCCATTTGTTTAGAAGGAACCAGAGGCTCTTCTCTGCTGAAACTCTGCAGCAAACTGGAACTAGAAATTCATACTTAACACACAATAATAGTTAAAATCCAACTAGACAAACAAATGTCTCCAAGTAATTCATAAGGCCGCAACACCAATAATGCAGACACTAAGATTGTTTTCAGCCCAGGAATTGACAAATTTAACCAAAGCGATCCGAAAACCAGATCAGCAAAAAAAGCAATGCACGGATAGAAGAGAGCAACAATTTGAAATTCGGGAATTCAATCAGTGAAGAATGTCACTAATTAAGCCAAGTACACCAAAATAAACGAAATCAACCAAAAAAAAATGTCGCACACGATTTTGAACAAACGATCAACTTCGCTGTGAAACCTCAAAACAGTTGACGATCGGTTGAGTTACAAGATTTAAAAGGAGGTACCTATAAAGAGTAGGGTTTGAAGGGTCTTGCTTGATGGCTTGGGGGTGTAAAGTGCTGCCGCTTTGAGATACTTCCCTGACTTGAAAAACTCATTGCCCTGATCTTTCAGAGACATTTTTTCTCCTTCTGCTGAAGCCGGGGCTGTTGCCATTGGTATTCTTCTTCGAAGAGAAGAGACTCAACGGCGATAATATGGAACTTACCTTCTTCAATTAATCCCAGAATTGCGGTGCGGGCTCACAATCTTAGTAGGGTTTACTAAGATGTTCACTTTGAGTGTCTTCTCTTCGAAGGCTTGGATGCATGATTATATAATTGTTCTCTCTGAAGCTGAAACCCAATATTTGGTTTTGTTTCAGTAGCAATACAGCTTTACACGTGACTCCTCAGACGCAGTGTCTTGCTTTAACCAACCCTGTAGTTAAGTTTTAGTTTTATTTTTTTTTTAAATCAAAAGTTGGATTATCATGATTCATGAGTCATTGTGTTGATTTATCAAAAAATAGTTTGATAAAAATTAATTACTATAATAAAATTTTTGTTTAGACCTTGAATATATATTTTTTTTCAAAAAGTCAGTTTGTTAAAGTGAAATTTACTTAAATTCTAATCTAAATAAATTTTTAAAAAACTTATATATTTAACCTTTTATATTTAATATGCTTATTTTTAATTAAAATAAGGCATGTAAATTTTTTACTCCTTCCTTAAAAAATGTAGGCATTTTTTGAGAGATTGAATGTTTAAAAATGTAGGTATATTTTTAATTTTTTGAAATAATATTATTGTTTTTTTTAATACTTCTATTCATAATAACTTATAAATTTGTCATTGACATTATTAACCCATCAAAATACATTTATCTTGGTTGATTGAATAAAAATACATTAAGTATATACAGCTAAGTACATAGATATTATCTATATACTTTTATCATTGAAAATTAATTAAAATTATTTGAAAACTAACAAAATTAAAAAAAATAAATCAAGTCATCTTTTAATAAATGAAGCTTTTATATATATTTTTTATATCTATGAGTATCATTTTATTAGAGGCAATTTTCTTTGAAATATTATTAAGGATTAAATATAAATGACTCTCCTAATAAGAATTCAAACTTTGGTTTATTAGATTATCAAGAACTAGCCACTTACATCAGATGAGATATAATTTTAACTTTTGATAGTTTCTTAAAATAGTTTTGGAACAACAGCTACAGCCAAACATGCCATTATTTCTTCACAAATGATATTCAATCAATACACAAAAATCAATGCCAATTAAATATTAGTGTATGTCAATATTATTAGTATTACCAGTATCATCATTAATATCAATTAAAATGATTGAATATAAAATTTATAATAAACAATTTATTTGTTTAAATTGTGGATGATGTTTAATAAGCCCTCCTGAGTAAATATACCAGAAAATACTTATAAATATGTCAATATTATTAGTATTACCAGTATCATCATTAATATCAATTAAAATGATTGAATATAAAATTTATAATAAACAATTTATTGTTTAAATGTGGATGATGTTTATAAGCCTCTTGAGTAAATATACCAGAAAATACTTATAAATAACATAGTATTCATGACAGAGCAAGCATGTTTCTAGGCCATTAAGGCCATAGCCTTAGGCCTCTAAAAAAAAATTTCTTCTACTATGTAGTCATTATTTTTCTGTTAAGTATTGATGCTGGTTAAATAAGTTTTTTAAGAATTTATTTCTTGCTTGTACTTCAATAACCCATCATCATTTTTACATCAAGCATTAATGTTAATTACATCTTTTCATGAAAAAATTATTGTTCCCCATTTCCTTCTACCTAATCATTCTCAATATCAATTAACTATTCTCTAATTAAAAGGATAGCATGCATATACTATATCAAAAGATTAAACTCTTTCTTGTATTAAAAAAAAAGAGATTAAACTCTTTTCAATACATATTTGCTTTGTGAGTATTATTGATAATACAACTGACATTTACTATTACTAAAATAGTTTTTTCAAAATAAATTCACTTAAATTTAATTTAAGGATAAGTCATATTGTAAAATAAATTAAATGCATTAGTTATATTATTTATCAAAATTATAATGTTAGAATTATTTGATTATAAAATTTAAATATCTAATTTGCAACTCAAAAAGCTAAAAAATGACATGAAGATAGATAAATAATACTACATTAGGCCCTTTTAAATAATTTTGTCTCAAAGTCATAAAACTTCTTCACGTGACCTTGCTTCATCATGAAAAAATAAACTGAGAAAAAGAAGATACAAGTGGCAGCTTTGCATAGAGAAGGTAAGTATTTAAGACTAGAAAAATAATAATAAAATTTATAACAGTTAAATTCTCAATAAATTTTTTTTAAAAAAAAATAAGTTATAATATTATATAAAACGGTTGCAAACAATTCAATTGTAAATTGAGAGTTATTTTTAAAATTTAAATATTTTATTTACAATTAAAGCTCTTAAATTTGCAATTATTTAAAATATTTATTATTGATTTTGCACTACATTTTTATAGAGAACCCAACTATTATAAATTCATTATTCCTCCTTTGAAAGTTAACAATGCAAATGTTTTGAAGTGAGACTTTTGAAAAATTACATCCAGGGATTTTTTAAGAATGCTAGTGATAAAGGCCAAAGGATTTTAAAATTGCTCTACAGGACCAAAATCTTTTAGTCCTTTTTTGTGTGAATAATATATTTTTGAGAGGTTTTTAAATGTAATTTTTCCTAGATTTTCCTCTTATACGTGAGGTGTTGCATAGAGTTCAATCTTTCATGTAAAAGTTATTATCATATTTATAAGTCACCTCTAATATATTTTACTAAAATAAAAAAAATTTAAAACTCATTATAATTTTTTGAAATAAATTTTAAATTGTATCCCTACAAAATATACGTACTTTTTTTTCAACATTTAATGAGAGATAAAAAACTTAATTATGATAAAAAGTCAGTGGCATACCTTTTAAATATGACTAAGAAAATCCTTCTCTATTCATCTTATAATTAAATAGCTATTACAAGGGGGAGCACAATAGGAATAGATCATGGAGGCTTGGGTTTTTAAGGAGCTATTGTCTTGGAATAAAAGAAAGCTTCTAAATTGTTGCTTATTGCGCAGCAAGTTCCTCCTCTTGTTGTATATCGTTGATGAAACCAAATTCAAGGACAAAGATACAAAAGATGCACCCTGGCTATTCATTTTGTTTGTCTTCCTGTCTCCTATTATTAATTATTATTGTATTGTTGGAATGCACACTCTTCCTAGAATGTTCTACATTGTATGCCTTGCTTTTCTTTCATGGTAGATTGCCTATAAAGGGGACATTAATTAGAATGAGGTTACTTGAAAATGATTGGTTTATTAGGAACACTCAAGGAAATTTAAAAAATTACACAAAAATCTAGAATACTATTCTAATATCTAGCTAGACTTTTAAATATTCTCAAGGGCTCGATCTACGTATTTTTTTTATCTTGACAGGCAAAATCATAAGAATAGAAAATTGCAAATTGATAAAATTAGAAAAAATAATTAATGATTTCTTTTTATTTAAAATAAGATAGCTGATAAAAAAGTAAGATATAAAAAATTCTTGTCAATTTTTTTTAAATGTGATTTATATTTCCTACCAAAGCAAGTACTATAATAACGTCGTCATATGGTGTACTTAATTATCTATAAGATAAGCATTTAATGGTGGCACCATCAACCAACAGACTTTGTGTGTCACTTGTTGACCTTCATGGTGGTCCCTCTTTGATTTATGATTTTGCCGGTCATCATTCACTCGGCCGGCAACTTGGCACACTCCGGCGGCACGCCGTTGAAGAAAGTAAATGCATGTTTTAAAGTTCTGAATCCCCGGCAATAAGCACACGCCCACTGTAATCTCACCGGAAAACTTGTCATGCTCCACATTCAACACCTCCAAGCTCTTCATCCCCGCCATGGACTCCGGCAACGACCAGACAAAATTGTTAGAACCTACATCCAAAACTGTCCAAGTTAACTAAATTCCCAATTTCTTCCGGCAACGAACTAGTTAATCCATTGTTTGAAACTGTAATCTCGTTCAGTGTATCCTTCATTTTGGCCACACTTGGAGGAATAGTAGACCCTTTGAGATCATTATTTGTCATCACAATCACAGGAGCAAGATGATTCCCGAGGCTCTCCAGCAACAATAATTGAAACCTATTATCGTTTATCAAAACGGCATCGAGTTTCAGGTCGAAAAGGCTGGACGGCACGTCGCCCTTGGAAGTTGTTGAACCTTATATCCAAGTAACGCAATGAAGGGAGATTCAAAACGACATCGGGAAAACCACCAGAGAGTTGATTGTCACTGACGTCGAGCTCGAAGAGAAGGTTCATGGAGGTGAAGCCATTGGGAAGCGGTTCGAGTTGATGCGGAAAATCGCGAGTTCTGTTAAAAGGCCAAGCTGTTTTGGCAAAGAACCGGAAATGTTGGCACCATTGAGGTCCACTCCGGCGACGGCGACGGCGACAGAGTTGGGATTGTCTGGGTGTGATGCGCAGTAGATTCTAATGTAGTTGCAGACTTGGAGACCGTTCCAATTTATTTATTATTATTTTTTTGGCAATATAGAAATTTGGATTATGATTCAACCTTTGGTGTGGTTTGAAATATAATTAACTCTGTTTTTAACTAGTTGTGGTTAAATTTGACATTCATAATATAAAAGGAAAACAATGAATTTGTTAAAATATTTAGTATTTTAATTAATATATTTTATATATTTAGTTTATTTAATATAACCTTCATATTTACTTTGATTTATAGCTCTTGTCTTCCTCCCATTGGTCAATCCAAGTGGTGTAAGAATATTTACGTGTATTGAATATACCAAGGGTGTTTTGGTTATGGAAAATGCAAATACAATATTAAAATAGATACAACGTACATCATCATTGAATTAATATTTAATGAATTGGAAGCTTATATAAATAGGGATTTACTTTAAAAATTGCTAAATATATTAATTAAAATCAAAGTGAATGTGAAGAATTTAAAGTCCTTCATGCTCTTTATTGAGTTTTTTCTATTTATATTTTTATGTTATTAATACCAGTCTTTATGCATGGCATGTTTTTTTTTTCTCATAGACATGGCCATGTGAAGATATTTTGAGACATAAGGAAAAATTATTAATATAACCTAACATGTATAATTATCCCTTAAAAAAATGCACTCATAATTCTTTTTTACAAAATTATATGTTAAAATTTTATAATATAGTGATTTTAATAAAATACTAAATTAATTTAATAGTTAAATGAAAATAGTATTGACAAAGTGCTTCTACTACCCCATCTTATATATCGGGATAAAATATTAACAATGATATAGGATGGCAATACATTTTTAATAAAAAAGATATAATTAAGACTAATAATATCAATGATTAGTGTGAAAAACATAATTATACAAATTATAAAAAAATATTTTAATAAGGCTTAAATATCACATTGATGGCTTAAAACTATATAAAGTTTTGATGCTAATATTTTTCAATGTTTTAGGCTTTAGAATAAGAAAAAGAAAAAATGAAAAGTAAAACAATGAAAAAATTTTAACGTAAGCTAATGTAGTGCAAATTAGTATTTTATGGATCTCACTATTTTTTCTTATGTAAATAATGAACTCAGCTCAATAATTGATGTTATAATAGGAATAATTAAAATTTTTAATAGAAAAACAATTAATATTTTTGTTCTCTTTCATCTATAATTAAATATATGTTGATACAAATATTAATTAAATACATATATAATAGGGTATTAATAATTTCTTTTGAAGGCCCAAGATAATTGACTCACTTGCTTTATGGCTTTCACGGCTCTGCTCATAAATATTTTTTTTTAATTGAAAGTAATTTTTTAAAATATTGTTAAATATTAAATATGAATAAATTTTTATGAAGATCCGAACACTGTGCTCGTTCTTATCCGTCATACACACGCTCTTATCTCTCAACTTTATTAGTCCATTTAATGGCCTCACACTCACACATCTGCAGCCATCATGCCACGTCGATATCCTCAATGCCCTTCCCCTTGGATCATTGGTGAAGCCAAAGCCCAATCATTTGTCTTTAATGATGTATAAAGATGCCAGACACATCTGCTCAAAGTAAATGACCACTCCTTCCCTTAAGAATATGACACATTTTTTAAGTTTATATATATTAAAAAGTATAAAATACTTTCAGTTTTTTAATATATAATTGATGAATTTTTTTTAAAATATCCCTAATTACATAAATACTTAACTTTTAAACGAGACACTTTGTTAAATACAAGCAAATATAGAATGATTATATTAATTTAAAAATAATTAATTAATTTATTAATATAGAATGATTATATTAATTTAAAAATAATTAATTAATTTATTAATAGTATATTTTGGTTAAAAATATTTTATAAACGATTTCTTACCTAATTATTTTTCCCCTAAAATCATAAGATAAATTATTTCTTGCAAAATACTGACATAAGCATTAAAACTAAAAGCTTAAAATTTAAAAAAAAAAAAAAACATAGTACAGCACGCGCGAACGCACAATTGGTCCCCACTCCCCACTCTTATTGTTCTGGTAGGTCTGGCCCACCCGGAAGGAGTGTTTGGTTGTTTTCAAAATTTTAGACCACATGGAATGATAGATAGTAAATAGATACTTAGATGGGGAACAAAATTGAACTTACAAGAGTAGGACTGATTAATAATTAGTCACTATCTCTCTCTCTCTATAAAAATATTTTTAATTAAATCACATAAATTAATAAAAATATATTATTTAATTAAAAGTAAATAATATTTTATTTTATTTTTTAATTATTTTAAGTATAAAATTGAATCTCTTTTTTTAAAATAAATTAAATAAAGTATTTATTTTTTATTTTTAATTTAATAAAAGTATAATAATTTATTTATTAAAAAAATATATTGACAACTTCTTATATTTAAAAATAAAAAATATTTAAAAAAAATTATATATAAAAAGGAGGGGTAATCATTAGCTTATCAGTATTGAATGTTTTTTAAATTTATGATTATTTCCCAAATTTACTTCCAATTAAATGGTTTACCCGACGTAAATTACCATTAGTGTCCGAAGCTCTCTCACATTTTACAATATGACTCCTTTTTTTTATTAATTACAGTATGACTTCTATTTTATTTTTCATCGATAACATGATCCCTATTTTATATCATGCTTGAAAAACGAAAAACTCTCTGCAAATTAAAGTACTCTTTCTGCCCTTAATTTTGAGGGAAAAATCAGCCTTTGATATAAAATAAAGTTAGAGTAATTATTTTTTCCTAATTTTATCATTTATTTATTTATTATGGTTGAGTTCTTATATAGCAATTTATTGTGGTTTATCAACTGTAGAGAAGGGCAAAATTAAAAATTATTTATTTTTAATACTGGTAATTTTCAAGATATAACTATCATTTCTCGATAACTATAAAATTAGTTAAGTTTAATTTATATTAAAGATTGGATTGAGTAACTTTCATCAAAGATTGAATGAGGTAGAAAGGAACATTTCATGCAAGACGGCTTGATATTGTGACTTCAAAGTTCAAATCCATGATTTCCATATATTTATACACGGGGAGAGAGAGATCAGATCATTTTGATAGCAAGATTTGTATTCAATTTCAAATCTCTATAAATAATTTAAATATCCATGACTGTTACTAAGAAACTAGACAATGTTAATTGAACTAAATATATATAGGATTGTATGGATTCTTACTGCTAAACTGAACAGGCACTAACTAATAAGACTTGGTTCAACGAATTTCTCTTGAAGGGGAGAAGACAAGGTACGTTGCTTGTGAATCTGTCATAGAATTTCAACCTTGACTTAGTCAATTAAACTTAGTTTATATTTTTAACATAGCAACTTAATCTTCAGGAAAAATATTTTATCTGTCAATGTCAACAATCATTCTCCAAACCACGAGTGAAGAAATGGTCTAACAAATGAGTAAATGGCAAGTCCCATGTGAAAAGCTTTATTCGCTTGATTAGGATATATAATACTTTTAAAATTTATCAACATGAAATGGAATTAAAAATTAATATTCCATCCGTCTAAAATTATAAATATTTTTAAATAAAATCTCACATAATAATAAATTTTTTTAAATATACTTAACAACTTATCTTTCTAAAACAAAAATATAAACTTTTAAAAATATCATATATTAAAAAGAGAATAAATGAAAATTAATTATAAAAAAAGATAATATTAAAATTAATATATTTAATGTAATCTTAATCTATTTAAAACATTTTATATTTTAAGATAGAAAAATTTCATTAAAAATGACTGGTAGTTTAGTACGGAGGGTTAATATATTATTCGTGCCATTTGTTTTGAATTAGCCCTTCGATTATTTGTCTCGCGTTTTTTGTTTAGTTTGTAAAAGTAAGCGGATTTCGGCTTTCTAATTATTTTTATAATTATTTAGTACCAAATTTGTCCATATTCAAGTATTATTGAGAACTTAAATAAAATAAGTTCTTTTTCGTAATAGACAGTTTCCGAACCCTTGTTTTTATTTAACCAACTTGATTACGATCTATGGACGATGTTTAGTTTAAATTTTATTTTAAGTATATGAAAAATTTCGTACGATTGTTAATAATTTGATAAATAAGTTTTATGTTTTTATAGTAAATCTATTTAATATTAATATTGACATTATATAAAATACATATTATTAAAATGGGAGAATTGTTGGAATATTTATTTATTTATGGATTAACATTAATTAATAAGCCCAAATAGATTAATCTTTATGATATTGTGTGGACCGTGATAGGAGGACCACACAAGTGAGCCCAATGGACAGAGGCCCAACCCACAATCCAGTAGCCGTCAGTTATTCCCTATCTTTTAACTAACTGAGTTAGAGATAATAAAATATATAATTATTTATTATTTAATAAGACGGTTACCGATCTGATCTATATAAGACGAATAGTCGATAACTGCAATCACACGACTCATTTCTCTACTGTTCTATTATCTCTGAACTCTTTGAAGGCTCTGGAGACCAGTGGATTGTGTACCTATCTACACTTGAGATAATCAAGCTTTTTCAATGGCTCATGAATTCTTCAGGTACGCATACATTACTTTACTTGTTTATATAAATTGAGATATATAAGAATCGCATCTAAGGACAACCAAGAGAATTATTTACAAATAAGGATCAAAAAAAATTATCATTCAAGAAAAAATAAGTTTTTGTTATCATTTTAACAAGAAATAATATCGTATTAATTTTTATTTATAAATAATTTTTTTTTGAGAGGTCTTTGTATAAGATTCTTTCTATTAAATTTTGAATGGGTGGCCAGAAAAAAAATTAATTTGACCTAAGACACAAGTAACTTTTCCTTGTCACTTTCGAAATTTTCCAAATCATGTGCAACTACATTATATATATATATATATATATATATATCTCTGAATTATGAAATGTCTCACGAAGTGAGTGGACGAGAAATTTTGGACCAGGTTTGTTCTCTGATCTCGGCCTCGTGCAGGAAAATAACTAAGTGGTCCCAAAAAAAAAAAATTCATCGGATGTAAAAATAACTCTTTGCCACGTGCTTTAATTGTAAATAAGTTTGGTGTATATTTACTAAAATATTCTTATTTAGAAAATAAAAAAAAAAACTCTCCTCATGGTCAATCTGGCATGGGCATTTTGGTAAATATACTTCAAATTTATTTACAATTAAAACCCTAGACTTCAAAATTATTTTTATATTCCATGGGACTTTTTAAAATTAAAATTCTTTTGTGGGATTTCATAGTGATTTTCCCTTTTCATTTATTTATTTATTAACCTGATCTTCATGTGAGTGCAAGAGGAAGATTGGAAGCAGAAATCCAAACCGAAATTCTGGGAAAAAAGGGGAAGACGGGGAAGAGAATTGATTGAGAGGAAAAAAAAAAACAGAGAAAGAAATGAAAAGAAACAAACACTATTAATTTCAAGTATGAGCACAACGTAGTAATACAATTAAATTCCATAAATTATCACTATTAATGTCCAAAATGCTAGAACTTGTTTTTTTTTTTTTTGGGTTCAAACGCTGACTAAGTAGCTAACTCCTTCAAGTAAAGTAGTAATATTATACTTTCGTAATTCTATACGGTAAAGAAAAAGAAATTATATTTACTTATTTTGCTGCCATCACGGATAGTAGTGGTGAACCGCCGGAGGAGGAGGAGGAGGAGGTGGTGGTGGTGGTGGAGAGGAGGAGGAGGAGGAGGAGGAGGAGGGGGGGGGGGGGGGGGAGGGGAGGCGGAGGGGGTGATGGAGGAGGAGGAGATGGAGGCGGCGGCGGCGGCGGCGACCTTGAGCACCCATAGGCACCACAATCAACTGGGTGAGCATAAAAGGCTTCGCATTCCTTTTCCGACCTCTGCATCGGCCGGTACGGAATGCAATTTTTCCGATCATCTTTCGCCGGCAACTTCAGGCAGGTAGGCGGTTCGCTGCAGAAGTAATTAAAGGAGTACGTGAAGTTCTGCAACCTCGGCAACGAGCACACACTGGCCGGAATCTCGCCGGAGAGCTCATTATGAGCCACATTCAACTGCTCCAACCTCTTCATTCCCTCAATAGATTCCGGCAACGTCCCGACCAACTTATTACCACTCACATCAAACACCGTAACCTTATCCAATTTCCCAATCTCCTGCGGCAAACAACCTTTCAACCCACTGTTCGAAATTATAATCTCGTTAAGCGTGTCCTTCATCTTCCCCAAACTCGACGGAAGACATCCCTTCAGATTATTGTTCGCAAAAACCACCACTGACACCGGAGAATTCCCGAGATTCTCCGGCAACGAGAACTGGAATTTGTTGTCGTTTATGAAAACAGCGTCGAGCTTGAGATCAAAGAGGCGAGAAGGAACCTTACCTTCGAACGAATTAAACCTGATGTCCAAGAACTTCAACGAACGGAGGCACAAAAGGACTTCCGGGAACGGTCCGGACAACTGGTTGTTACTGACGTCAAGCTCATGAAGAAGATGAAGATTACGGAAGCTCTGAGGGAGGGTCCCACAGAACCGGTTAGAGTTGAGGTGGAAGAGAGCGAGGTCGGTGAGGAGACCTAAGTCTTCCGGCAAGGAACCGGAGATATTACCGTGGTTGAGGTCGATGCCGGCGACGGTGTAAACATGGGGATCGTCGGGTGCCGGAGCACAGTAAACGCCGGTGTAGTTGCAGACATGGTAGCCGTACCAGTTGGCGGTGAAGTTCCTGGGATCAGAAGTGATAGAATGCTTCAATGCTTGAAGAGCATAGTAAGCTTTGATGAGTCTAGGATTTATTGCGTAGGTGACATTATTAGGGGATTGTTGGTGAGAAGGTTTGACAATGGAGAGAAGAAAAATGAGGAAGAAGATGACACATAATGGTCGTAGAGGAAGAAGACGACGATGAGGTTGAAGAAGAGAAGCCATATTGATGTGTGTAAGTGAGGCCAGAGAGAAGAAGAGTACTCCAGTCGATGTGCGAGGTTGGGCTTATATATATATTATAAGGACGGGACTACATATTAATTAGTTGAGGATTTTAATACTAATTATGGAGATTTGCTGTCTTCAAAATTGTGTTTAGCGTCTTTATATTAATAATATATGAGTAGCCCAAATATATTGACTTTAGATTTTTTTTTTTTGGTATTCTCAAAATCAATTAATCCAATATTGATAGACGACTATATTTTTATCTTCATGATATAGCTTTCACATCGTCGAAGAGAATAAATTATACAAGTAATTAACTATATATATAATAATTTATTATATATCTTAAAAAATTATTTTTATCAGAAAGACAAGCTATACATATGTATTTTTTTCTAATTATGAATGACAAAATTTTTCTTCTTGTTTTTTTTTTTTGCAACATGTACATAATTTATACATCCACGTATATTACTATAATCTAAAATTTATAGAAACGTATACTGTTCATAAATAAAAAAAACAGAACAATTCATTCCAAAGGCTCCATAGAAAGCATTAATAATTTATAATTATAAAATATTATCATGCCTTTAAACTGTTACGGGAAAATTATAAAATATATATCGCACTTGACAGATTAGTTTGGAAAGTCTCTCCTCTCTACCCCTTTGTGTGTGAGTGTTAGCAGATATATATATATATATATATATATATATAATTGACATTCAAACCTAGAAAATATACCAATGAAGTTTTTCCGATGTTCCAAGAGTTGGAGGAAGGCGGCTTCATGCTTCTTACCAAAAACGCGGTTCTCGTCATATTTACTTAATTATTTATAAATATATATAAAAGGTTTGTATTATCAACATTTTCAAAGTTGCATAGGATATAAAATTATTATTATTATTATTATTATTATTATTATTATTATTATTATTATTATTATCCGGCATGAATTGCCTAAAGAACATATAGAGAAATTTCAACGGGGTTTACATATATAATAATTAATTAATTAAGCTATTATTCTCATGTAGTGCTTGTCTCTAAATGTTTCTTGTCCTCTGATCCGAAAAAAAAAATTAATTTCAGTGATTGTTAAATACTAGTATCTTTTTGCATACATGCCATTTTTATTTTTAATTAAAAGAATAAACGATCCAACAAACTATTAGTAAAAGGAATAGAAGGGTGGAAGAAATAAAATTTTCTCATATAATTCAAAATTTAAGGATAAAATACATCTTTAATCATTTAACATCACACAGAATTTTATTTTAGTTTTTTCAATTAATTTCATAAAATATCTTTTCAATCCTATAACTTTTAACACTATAATTTTATTAACAAAAATTTTTTATATTAAACTTTTAAATATTAATAAAATATTTTCATACTTTGATATATTACATTTAATTTTTAAAATAATAATAATTGACAAAAAAAATTCATTTAAAACTGGCAATGATAGAATTAGAGGACTGAAAATATGTTTTATAAAATTAAGAGACCTAACTGAAATTTTAGATAAAATTAAAGAACAAAGAAGTACACTTCAAGCCAACCTTAAACATGTTTTATTTGATAGGTTTTTCTTTCTGATTTTATTTACATTTCTAGCTATTTTCTTTTCGTTGTTTTTCCCCTTGTATTTTCAAGGCCAAAAATAATTATTATTAAACTCGATGCTTCTTAGGATTATGGTTGGCGGACATAGGTTTTTCTTTAGAGTATAGCCATCGTCATGAACAAGTCAGGCCAAAAAACTAATTAGGAACATGATTGATATACATGATGAGTTCTTACGCCGTATTTGTTTGTTAATGTTCTCGATATAATTATGATATTCTCTGGAAAAATGAAAATAAAATTATTTTCAATTATATAAATGATAATTTTTTTAAAAAAAATATCATAATATTAATAAAGTCTTCAAAAATTTTTTGTCATTAACTTTTTTTAAAAAAATTATTTTACCTTTACTAAAAATAATAAGACTCAATTATAATTTTTGTTTAAGAAATAACAACTTTTGTTATATGAATGGCAAGAATTAAACAAAAAAAATTATAATTTTTCGAGTGTAACTTCTATTATTTTAAAAAAGTTTTTAAAATAACAAGTTTTATTCACAACTTTTATTTAAAGAATCACAACTTTTTTCAAAAAATTTTAAAAATTAAATGAGAAATCATAATTTGTTAATAAGGGTAAAATTATATTTTAAAAAAAAAATTATTGACAAAAAGGTCTCTAAAGACTTCATTGATATTATGTCATTTTAAATAATCAAATTATCATTTACATAATTCGAAGGATTTCATCATCATTTTTTCATTTTTGTCATATTTTTTGTCATAAATAAAAATTAATAATTTTATAAAAAGTGCTATTATCTTAATTAACGACAATCTTCTGGTCGAAATTGTTACAAGTAGCATATTATTATATCACACTTAATAATGGTTTATCAACAGAGTGACCACAAAATAGTATAATGGTTTATATCATCATAGCTAGCTGTAATTGACTGCTTCAAAAATGTTAATAATCACACAAAACATTAATTATTAATGCATTAAATAATTAAATATTACTGCTATCATGTTTCAAAAGCGGCTCTCATTAATTATTTATACAAACCTATTTTGAATCCAAAAATCCACGAAACAATCTCCTTTTTTACACCCATTGACCAAATACAGTGGATGATATAGTGATCAAAACTAGAACAATGTGCCTCAGACTCTAGTTTGTTTATGATAATTGTTGTTTTGACGAAGGAAACGCGATTAATAATTGGTTTAACCACATTAGCATGCTTGTATATGCATGTTAATTAAAGAATAACCAGTTGTCTCAAGGTCTAATTAAAAAAATTTGTAAAAAATAATCATTATAAGAAAATGTCATTTCAAAATTAACCGCTTGATAGTTAATTAATGGACTTAATTAGATTCTTTTCACTATCTTTTCATTCCACTCTCCCTTCAAATCAAATTTGGAATAGTTCAAATTTAATATTTTATAAAATTATTATTCATATGTTAAGTTATAAAAATGTAATATATACACCGTATCAGGTGACCTATAATAAAAAATGATAAACTATTTATTAAAATAAATATACTAGTGCGTGTCTTGTAAAAAAGATTGGAAGGAGTATATGTTAATATGTTATCTATATTTATTAAAATGCATGCATATAAATAATTATTCCATTTCTATAGAAATATATTTAGTGATCATATTATAAAATAACCAGAAATATTTTTACATGAAATTTAAAAATTATAAATATATATAGCATATCATAAATTTTGGTATATGAATAATTCAAAAAAAATTATTTAAGAGTGGGCAGGATATTAATTATAAAAATTATTGAGAAAATATCAATCGAGGACCACTTGAGGAAACTTATATAAGTTAAGAATTACTTATTATCGAAACTCAAATGGATACTTAATGATTGGAATTAATCTTTTATCAAAAAATATCCATTCATATTTTAACAAAAATTTATTTTAAATTAACAATAATCTAATCGAGTTTATTTTTCATTTAGATTTTGATAACAACTAGTCATTAATTGATATAAATTTTCTTCGGCGATCCTTGATTGTTATTTTTTAAACTTATTTACTCTAATCATATTTATAAGTTATTTTCAGCATTTTCACCAAAATTAAGAAAAATCTTAAACTTCATTTAATAAGCTTTCCAACATTTAATAGAAGTAAAATAATAAAGATAAACATAATAATCATTAATGTTCTTTATAAATGGGGGCTAAAATAAATACTTTCTCTCAATCTTATGAATTAGACAAGAGGAGTAAAGTTAAAAATAAAAAAAAAAAGATAATGAAAATGGTTTGGGATGACAAATTAATTAGAGGGATGATAATGAATTGATAGGCATAGTACCTATGAAATTGACTGGTTACATTTTGATGACAAGGAGTCTCTACATATCAGAATCAGATGCTACTATGTGTTATTGATATCTTTAAAAAGTCAACAGGTCTTGCCGGTTGTTTGTTTGTTTGTTTCATTCTCAACAATGAAGCATATCACATAGCGGAGGTTACTTAAGACAGCAATTTCATCACCGAAAATGACATTTTGGGATCATTTTACTCAGATGATGATAATCCCAAAGAAAAACTGCAGATTTTTGTGGATCATGATTGCGACGTATTTGGGATCCATCTTTTAAAAAAATGTCATAGATTAAAATAGCTTTACCAAACAGCCGTTTGTTTTTCAGGAGGAGAATGACATTAAAAACCCTAAAAAAAATTATTATAACGAAAGCTTATTAGTTTTATATTGGATATTATATTTTAAAAATACGAATATGTTATTATTAAAGGCTAAATCTTCATTTATATTTTCTATTAGGATTTTTTATAAATTTAACAAGTTAAAATTCATCTTTTAACAATAATATATTCGTATTTTCACAATATAATATTTGGTACAAAATTAATATGCCCTTATTGTAAGAAGTTTTTCTTTCCAAGGCCTTTAATGTCATTTCCTTTTTTTAATAAAAAATTATTTAGTTTTTTTAAATTAGTTTATGAAATTCTATCATGTTTGTTTAGATATTTTTGTTTAAAATTAAAAAACAAATAATTTTTAGACCATTTAGAAATTTTATAAAATGATTTTTTTATATAGCTGTTAGATTAAATTTGAGCATTGTCAAACTTAATTAAAAGTAGTTATTTTGAAACAATTTTCTAGTTTACACGGACTCAAACTCAAACTCAAAACCTCGTGCTTAAAAGGCCATAGCTCATTTCACAAGCACCAATACTTGTTGATTAAAAAGAGATTTTTTTTAGATATTTTATAAAAAAACATATATTATTTTATTATTGTAACCAAATATAAAATAATATTTATTTTTTTTATAAAAATGTATGTAAAATAAATCTATTTTTATACCAGAAGCTACTTATTGTTTTAAATTTTAAATAAACCGGCCTTTAATCACTAGAGGATGACTTTAAATATTTT